TGAGGGTTGCGATCCGTTGCCGGACACGAAAAAAGACAAAAAGAAAAAAAAAAAAAAACTCCACTGGATAATCATTCTAATTGAATTTATAAATCTAAAAATGAAAATGTTTGAATTAAGAGCAAAGGAGATACGTATCCTCTCTTCTACAAAATTATAAGCCATCAAAAGTTTCAAAAACTTATTTAAGTATGGCATTTTGATGACACAAGTGCAAGAAAAAACAGAAGTAATGACAAGCTAGAATCTATCAGAGAGATATATGAAATCTAGAATCAGTATCTTCAGGATGGATATATTCCAGATTCATGCCATGACAGCCTATGAGCAGTGAGCTGAATTCAGAGATATTGTCCATTTCGAGGTATATCTGTATGTTCAAAACCAGGAGAATCTGAAATAAAAATTTGGGGTTGCTACATTTAAATTATTATATTTTCAAATGAAATTGGTTTTCACTATTTTTTTGTTCTTATTTTTAAAGTTATTTCTAAAGTAATGAAAAAATAAAAAAAAAAAAAACACAAGGGATCTATTGGACCAAGACAGTAAATAGTGATGACTACTTTCCTGGAATGCTGACAGATCACGCCAGGGAGTTCAAAAGATTATGGGCCGTACATGGGACATATCATCATCAAAAATACCAACTAGGGCTGGGCCCGTGGCGCACTCGGGAGAGTGCAGCACTGGGAGCGCAGCAGCGCTCCCGCCGCGGGTTCGGATCCTATATAGGGATGGCTGGTGCGCTCACTGGCTGAGCGCGGTGTGGCCGGGCACAAAAAGGACAAAAAAAAATACTGACTAGACGGAAATGGAAGAAGGACCACTATGCATTATTGCTGAGTGTAAAAGGCAAGCTGAAACAAAGGTAAAAGATAAAAGAGACTGGGACAAAATATTTGTAGTCTACATAACAGAGGAGTGGTAAACTGTTCTTGCAATCAATAAGAAGAAAAATAACTTAATAGAAAAATGACAAAGGATATGAATAGAGAAGAGAAATGCAAACAAAAACAGTCAATAAACATATGAAATAATGTTCAATCTTACCAGTAATTAGGAAATACAAAACAAGATCCAATTTTCAAAATTTAAAATTTGGTCTGCAAAACTTAAAAGGTCTCACAGTATCAAACACTGGTGCAGAATCAGGAAATAAATATTGCCAGTGAAAGTGTAAACCTGCACAGCCACTTGGAAAGGCAATATTAGAAGTATCAATGAAAACAAAAATTGTGCAGTTCCTATAATAGAGAAATTTTATTTTGTACTTCACGCCATCTCATTTATTTATTTTCTTATTTTACAAACAACCTACTTTATTTTCCATCTGTTATAATAGGAAACTTCAAACATATAAAAAGGCATGCAAAATATATTACTTATAATAAGTTTTAAAAACCAGTAGAGGGCCGGCCCGTGGCTCACTCGGGAGAGTGCGGTGCTGATAACACCAAGGCCCCGGGTTCGGATCCCACATAGGGATGGCCGGTTCGCTCACTGGCTGAGCGTGGTGCTGACAACACCAAGTCAAGGGTTAAGATCCCCTTACCGGTCATCTTTAAAAAAAAAAAAAAAA